CAAGAGATCAAATTGGAACAATGAGTAATTTCCAATGTCTGGCTGTAATAATTTTTGCAGCCAGCAGTATATGAGTAACCAAAGGGGTGTAATTTCCCAAAACATATCTAAAATTAAGCTGTAATAGGAAAAGATCAGGACAAAAATAAAAAGGTTTCCTAATTAGTGCTTGGATTTTACCACTGATCATACTCCAGAACAGTTGAATCGGAGGGCACTCCCACCATATGTGTAAAAATTATCCTCTATGGTCCCCACACCTCCAGCAACTATATATCTGATCTAGAAACAATCTTGGACAGTCTATTTGAAACCAAGTACAAACTATTTAAGAGCTTATAATGGCTCTCCAATATGTTGAGACAGTGAACATTTTTATAAATCTCTTCCCAAGAATTCCTTCATTCATCACAACTAACTTGAGTCTTTAGATCTGTGTCCCACTTCTTAATGATTGGTTCGATAGGTATATCGGGATCCCTACTAATCATATCTATACAACCGGCTATCAATTTTGTTGGAGTAGGTTTTTTCAATCGCTTTTTCAATATATTTCATTTGTTTGATTTTTCATTAGATAAGTGGTTATGAAACCCTTTATTCTTAAATAGTTGAAGATTTCCTAACTATCTAGGTTATATTCAATACTCAATGAATAGAAGTCTTTCAATTTGTTATTTATTGAATTGCTAATTTTTAAAAGACCACATTTAATCCAATTTGGTATGTTAAGGTTAACTACAGGTGATACTCGAAAAATTAGAATATCGTGCAAAAGTGCATTTATTTCAGTAATGCAACGTAAAAGGGGAAACTAATATATGAGATAGATGCATTACATGCAAAGCAATTTGTCATAAGTGCGATGATTATGGCTTACAGCTCATGAACACCCCTCCGATTCAGTTGTGTTGTGTTTGTTGTGTAATATGTGTGGTTAGGAGCTGTAGAGAGTGAGAAAGTGTGTGTGTAGGGTGTGGCAGTGTGAGGTAACACTGCTATATTAGCCCCAGAATGGCACTTTCAGTGTTCCCTGACTAGAGGGAGTTAAAAATCAGGTTACTCTAGTCTAGTACATCAAATAGGGAGCTACATAAACCCTATGCAGAGGGAAATCAGTCTCTCCTGTGAAGAACTGGGCCGGAGACAGAGAGACTGTGAGTCAAAAAGACTGCTGAAACTGTGTGGAAAGTAAAGGTATTTTGCAAGCCTTTATTTTTATTTGTTAAACTACTGGAGTCAGCTTACCTGCCCAGTAGCATAGAAAGGGTACTCTATGTTAGTTAGTATCCAATGTGGAGTAGGAGTTTATTTTGGTTTAATGTTTTGCGGTGGCTAAATTGGGTCCGGCTTACAAAATAAAGCTTTCCTCATATTGGAAGAAAGAACTGTTTCTGTTTATGACCCAAGACATGGCCAGCCTGCTACAAGGGGTGTTAGTGTGTATATGGGATGTAGTGAGTGTGTGCATAGGAGCTGTAGTGTAAGAATGTATAGGTGATATAGTATGCATAGGTGATCCAGATTGTGTATCTCAGGAATGTATTGTGTGTGTAGGTGGCGCAGTGTGTGTCTATAGGGGATCTATTGTGTGTGCGTAGATGATCCAGAGTGTGTATTAGGTATGTAACTTGTGTGTGTCTGAAATGTAGTGTATGTAAGTGAGGAAGTGTCTAAGTGCAGTGTGTGTGTGTGTGTGTGTGTCTGTGTGAAGATTGCAGTGTGTGTGTGCGTGAGGGGTGTAATGTGTGTGAGGGCCCATGAGGGAGGGCATTATAAGCCCTGGTGCTCCAGTGGTGAGTGAACTCCAGCCTGCAGCTCCTCGGGCTACTGCTTACTCTTGTGAGGTCCAGCCTGTCAGAGCATTGCCATGGTAACCATGCAGCTCACTAGAGGAATTTTTAGGACCTGGTGGAGCCTCAGGCTAGAGCCCCTGCATCTCCTCTCTGTATTTAAGTGTCAGTGGGCCGATGGGGAAATTTTTCCTCTAATCTTCCCTGTTGGCCCCAGCCCAACTGGACATTTTCCAAGGTTTGGAACTGAATCTTCTTTTGTCTGTGTATTATGTCTGTATACGCCTGCCTGGGTGTGTGTGTCTGTGCATGTATGTGCCCATCTGTGTATGCCTGTGTTTGTATGTGTGTGTGTCACACTCCGACAGCCCTTGCACACATACATATCACACTCAGCTAATCACTGCACAATCACTCACAACCTCCAAACACATCGTACTCAGGTTTATTGCTTAAAGGGACACTATAGTCACCAGAACAACTACAGCTTATTGAATTTGTTCTGGTGAGTAGAATCATTACCTTCAGTCTTTTCGCTGTAAACATTGTCTTTTCAGAGAAAATCGAGTTTTCTCCATTACAGCCTAGAGATAACTTCACTGGCCACGCCTCAGATGGCTGCCTAAAATGCATCCAAACATTATGTATCTCCTCGCTCTGCATGCATGATCTTTCCTCATAGAGATTATGTGTTTGAATCATGCTGGCTCTGCCCCTGATCTGCCTCCTTGTCAGTCTCAGCCAATCCTATGGGGAAGCATTGTGATTGGATCAGGCTACCACTTCTGATGATGTCAGCACACTGCTTGTTTTTCTGAGTCTAACAGCATTCAGAGTTACAGCTTCTGGTTTGAATACAGTAAGATGTTGCTATATTTATGGAGGCATGAGGGGCCTAGAGGAGCTAGATGGTGGTGTTAACCCTGTAGGGTCAGGAATACATGTTTGTGTTCCTGACCCTATAGTGCACCTTTAAGTGGAAGTAAGTAGGGACAATAAGGATCCATTGTTTTCTACTTGCATGCCTGCTAAGGAACTTTCAATTTAAATACATTGGTCTATATTTTGTAAAATCCTTCTTTCAATCCACTTTAAGTTACTGTTCAGTAAATTCAGTAAACTTCGAGTACATTTACCTATCCTGAACTGTACTTTTGTTTAGATTGAGTATTTGAGTATCATGACTTGCAGAGTGGTGCAATGCTCGCATACAACACTACCTGTCATAGCATTGCAACTCCACATTTTAGTCCATCCTAAAGATTTAAACTTGAATATTGAGACTGAGGCTTGTCAGCATTATAGTTGGCACAACAGACAGCAAAAGACTGTAAATCAAGGTACAGACCATATTTAAGATTGTCAGACACATTAACTTGCATTTTTAATATGGCACAAAATACATCCATGAAGTCAAACCAGCAGGTCTTTGGAGACTGTTTTGAAAATCAGGAACTTAACTATGTCTAATAAATTTTATGTGATAGTAATGTTACATTTTGATTGAACCGTAGTGTGTGGCAATATCTGAGCATGGTTGCCACGTGAGGTGTCCGCCTTGTCCATCTACTTCTTCACAATCAACAGCAGGGATTCAATAAACAGTCAGACAAAGCATAAGGTAGTATCAGTCAGGCAGGAATTATGTGCAAAATGTGAGTGGGTAGCTGATTGCAGTATAACCATGACCCATAACCTTTGGTTGCTATAAAGCTCCTATTTACAAAGTATTCCTCAGTGCAATTTACAAAGTATCAGTTGTCTCATATCTCTATTTTTTTTTTCTAGTAAAATATTTTCTAAACAAATAAGTATATTTTTCCAATATATCTCCAATTATGTTTTAGTTCCAACATAAAATGTTCAACACAGTAAAAAAAAAAACTGTTTAAACCCATATGTAAGAAAGAGCAGGGTGCCTCCAGCCCAGTTAACAACTACATTGTGATGAAGTTTTTACGTGGATGGAGTTAATTACGAGTAATCCTCTGTAGACATTGTGAGATCTGATGGAGTCAAATTTAAACAAAAATAGACTCAGGCATTTCAAAGAGGTGTACCCAACTTACTTAAATTGTTGGATCAGAAAATGAAATTATTTTTTTTTGCCTAAGTCTCCCATTTACTCAAACTAGGACAATCCTCCCCTCAGATTTCTCTTACTGCCCCACTGTTTGTTGTCTCTCCCCATCTCACACCTCCATTTTGTATCTATTGCCATTAGCCTAGTTTTATGCATTTCCACATTTTCCCACTATAGTTTTGAAATCTTCTCAAGTTTGTGACTCTTCTAATTCCTTCTCATTCCTTCCAGGTTCATTAATTGTTCACGAGGTTTGTGCCTTTCCCATCTGATAAGGATGTAGAAGAAAAGAGATCACCCTACTAAATATTATACTAATTTATATACCGATGTTGTTTACAAATCAAATATGTTGTCAGGTTTTTTTTAAGCTTTGTTTAAATGTCTTTTTGTAAGTATTGTCAGCACACTCACTAATTAGTTACCTCGGCTGACAAGCTGTTTGTTTATCTGGAAAAAACAAAAACACAAGTGTACATTTATCTAAACCTATTGCGAACACCTTTTTACTTTACCACTGAAACTACTGGAGCCTAAATAAACACCTACTAGGTGCCCAGTTGCAGATGTAATCACCCAAACTAATGTCATGACAAGAAAAAACAAAAAACTGCTGAAACCAGAGAGGTGTATTCACACAACGCAGTCTAGAGTAGATGGAAGCACAGAGTCTGCTGAACTGTTTACATTAGCAGCATCCTTGTGGACAAAGGTCTGTGACCTCATAAACAAAACAGATAACAAGCAGATGATTGTAGTTTTTCCAAATCCTTCCTGTTTTCCTGGAAACATAATGCATCTCTATGATGATTAGCAGGACGTGAGAGTATGTATAATTCATATGCAGCAGGTCATTAAAGGGGCACCATAGCCACTGTAATATCAGAACAGTTTGACACATAACCATTACAGCATGCCATAATGTTGTTGAAGGAACTCCTTGATAATCGATGCGTGCAGCATTAAAATGTACTGTATTAAGGCACTTTTCTGGTTTTGTCCATCATAATATAGAAGTGAGAATTTTTGCGGCAGACATAGTGAATCTAGCAGGTCGAGTTGCTGAGCAGACTATATGGTAGCACACCACAGCAGCGATTAGATTAAATGTCAAAATATTTATGTTTATTTAACCCTATATTTAGCAAACTGAGAAATATTATTTAATGTAGAAACTGATAGTTCAAGGATAGAGGTAAAACTAGCAGTGAGTGCCAACATTCCAAATAGACAAAGAGGGACACTTTAATTTTAGGGGTATGAGTGGGGGTGCGGTTGGTCTGAGAAATTTTAGGTGACTTACTAATAATTTATGGAGCTAACACAAAATTCAGAACATGTACAATGTATCTTATTTACACAGTGTGATTTCTAAAAACATTTATTGTACTTTAATGCCTGGAAATTTAACTTAACCATGTTGCTGCTTGGTGAATTTGCAGGTAGGCGTGTAAAAGGAATAAAAATGAGCCAAGAGTTTTTGGTTAATTGTCCCTTTAATAGCTTTGAAAAGGGATTTAATGACCCTATGTCTAACTTATATGTCAGGTGCATTTATACAGCCATAAATAGGCTTGAATTACCTACATATCTAGTATAGGAAGATCCTCCATTTCACACAGTCTCCAAAGCCTCTCATGCCTTACTGCACATTAGTTACATTTTTGTTTTAAGCCGCTAATTCCACACATTCATGGTGATTGAAATTGGATATCTGTCCTCTTGATCAAAATTAACCTAATTAAGGCTTCCTGCAATCATAGAAGTTGTCTAACGTATGGCATGCAAAATCAGTAAAACATCTGACAGTTCATTAACCCAATATTTGCTTGAATATTGATTACGGTTCTTTGCTGGTTGTTGGACAATCATGTTGCTACAAAAATAAATATATATTGGGCTTTTTAATCACACGCTGAATTAACTGACCTTTGCATGTGCTCTAACATTTTACATTTTAAAAACCATAATTTGTCCATTCCATGCCCAGCCTTCTTCCATCATTTGTAATGCAAACTGACAAAAATAACAATCGGTGTTAGATTGATGATCTGGAAGTGAACAGTTATAGGTATTATACAGTGTAACAGAACATTCTTTTGCAAGATGAAAAATAGGGCCTCTTAGACATCCAAATGTAATGATCCCTATATTCGGAAATGCAACGCATTGCAAACTTCCTTCTCAGACGAGTTCCCTAGGAGGATGTCTCAATAGTGATGGCTTTTCCATGGATTAAACTTGGGGTGCTAAAAAGAACCTTTGTCTGTTCCCATAAGGTCTTTCTATTAACACCACAAGTGTTTTCAATTTGGCAAGGGAAGGAAATCAGTCAGAGCAATTTAGTTTAGAGGCTTAAATATACACATCTCTCCAGGTGTAAGACATGCCGGTATATTCACACCAGTCATATTAACTGCTTAGCAACGAGAGAGAGAGAGAGAGATCTGACATCACCATCAGCCCAAAAACATTTATAGTGTGTGAAATATTTAAAGAAGATGTGATACAAATCTTTTTTATTGGCACGCAAAGTTTCAATACTAAAGTGAAAAGTTGCTGATTGCTCTGCGTTCGATATGTCCCAAATTATTGAATTTGGGTTGTCACATCCAGCATGATTTCAAATCACCTCTTTGGTTGATGGACAGCACATAGAAAGTTCTGCCGTACAGTGTGGAAAATGCATATGTTAAAGTCCTCCTTTATTATAAAAGGGGGCCCTTACTAGTGTCTGGTTGGAGCAGTGCCCTGGGTGGGTCAACATTATTTTGCTCATAAATTACTTGTTGCTCTATATCCATAATGTATGATTGTAGAGCACTCTCTAGCATGTTAATAATAAATGATAATCGATTTTCCATGGATTTTAGCACTACATTAATTTAACCCTATATTTAGCAAACTGAGAATTATTATTTAATGTAGAAACTGATTCTGCTAGTTTTACCTCTATCCTTGAACTGAGTGCCAACATTTCAAATAGACAAAGAGGGACACTTTAATTTTAGGGATGTGAGTGTGGTTGATCTGAGAAATTTTAGGTGACTTACTAATAACAATGTATGGAGGTAACACATAATTTAGAACAAGCACAATGTATCTTATTTACACAGTTTGATTTCTAAAAACATTTATTGTAGTTTAACGACACATTACTGTGAGTATTATTGCTGTGGAGCTCTGTTATACATTCAGGCACAATATGGAGCTTTAAGAAAAGAGGGACACTGGGATAGAAAAGAGAATAGAGGGATTTGGACCCAAAATAGGGACTGTTCCTTTCTAAATAGGACACTTGATAGATACGAATCTGGCCCTTGCTGTGCCAGGCTTTAACTCCTTAAGGACCAGGGACGTACTAGGTTTGTCCAACAAAAACAGTCCTTAGGTACCAAGTACATCCGCTGCAAATATATTACTTATCCAGAGCACCGCCGTTCCCCTGCCAGCGATCAGTGTTGTTTCCAGTCTGGAGGGTCTGCCTGACAGCCCAGACAGCCCCCCTCTGAAAGAGTCGTCACCTGGCCGCAATAGGAGTCCATGTATCTTCCTGCAGGGGGACTGCCTAAACTGACAGGCAGTCTCCCTGCATCTGTAAACAAATATATATATACACATTAGTATATTATATATATTATTTTATTTTATATCTATATTAAATATATATAATATAGTCCAGAGAATTTAATTTGCTAGCACTGTATTTAACCCTGTAACTTTGCATTACACCCTAAAACCTGTACTGGGTGGGTACTGTTTTACTCGGGAGACTTTGTTGAACACAAATATTAGTGTTTCAAAACAGTAAAACATATCACAGCAATGATATTGTCTGTGAAAGTTAAATTTTTTGCTTTTTTTCACACACAAATGGAACTTTCACTGATGATATTATTGTTGTTATAAGTACCACCAATGTACAGGTTTTATAGTGTTTTACAGGGTCAAGGCTTGATTTTCTGTTTTTTCACATTGAAATTTTCCAGATTGGTTATGTTGCCTTTGAGAGTGTATGGTAGCCCAGGAATGAGAATTAACCCCATAATGGCATACCATTTGCAAAAGAAGACAACCCAAGGTATTGCAAATGGGGTATGCTCAGTTGTTTTTAGTAACCACTTAGTCACAAACACTGACCAAAGTTAGCATTCATAATTGTTTTTTGCATTTTTAACACACAAACAAATATAAATGCTAACTTTGGCCAGTGTTTGTGACTAAGTGGCTACTAAAAAAGACTGGACATACCTCATATTGAATACCCTGGGTTGTCTACTTTTAAAAAAAATATGTACATGTGAGGTGTGAATCAGAGATTTATGATAGATAACCGTGTTATAATGTCACCTTTGTTCAATTTTAACGATATATATTTTGAAACAGCAATGTCCTACTTGTACTTATAGCCCTATAACTTTGAAATAAAGCTAAGAACATGTCAACATTGGGTATTTTTAAACTTAGGACAAAATTTAGAAACTATTTAGCATGGGTGTTTTTTGGCGGTTGTAGATGTGTAACAGATTTTGTGGGTACAGTAAATGAGTAAGTGGAAAATTACAGCTAAACACAAAAAAGCAGAAATATAAAAACAGCCCTTGTCTTAAGGGTAAGAAAATTGAAAAATGGTCTGGTCACTAATGGGTTAAAGGGACACTACAGACATTCAGAACACTTCATCTCATTGAAGTGATCTGGGTGCAGTGTTCCTGTCTCACTGAGTACCGCAAGGTAAAACATTGCAGTCTTTGAGAAACTGCATTGATTACTTAGCAGGACTGAGACTGCCTCCTGACTAAGACTCACGCTCTGAATGAGGACACTCAGCATCGATGGAATCCCCACAGGAAATCAGACAATGCTTTCTTATGGGTATGGTCTAATGTGCTTGCCGCTGGTGACCTCTCCTCCCCATCCGACGTCAGCTCCCTAGTGGAGTGGAATGCGCATGCGCAGCAAGTGCCGCACACGCATTCACAGTGTCCATAGGAAAACATTTCTCAATGCTTTCCTATGGACGCTCTGCGCGATGGAGGCGAAATTCGCCTCCAGTGTCGCAGATGCGCCTCTAGTGGCTGTCCGGAAGACAGCCACTAGAAGCTGGATTAACCCCAAACGTAAACATAGCAGTTTCTTTGAAACTGTTATGTTTACATGTGAAGGGTTAAAACCTGAGGGACCTGGCACCCAGACCACTTTATTGAGTTGAGGTGGTCTGGGTGACTATAGTGTCCCTTTAAGCTGGTATATTTACAAGTCCACATAGTCTTCAAATTTTCACCTCCATCTTTATCGCCCCCTTGGTTCGGGGTACTTGTGGTTAGAAGATACTTTTAAAAAGATATATTTTAGCATGTGTACATCTTTCCTCCAAATACTTTTTATTATATTATAAGAATTCATGTTCTATAACTATAAAATGGGTAAATGTTAATCAGTGACTACATTTATTTGATAACTTTCCTTTGTCAAATTTCATTCAATGCATTATATCATTAGAATAAAATATTTTTTAAAAAGTATTATTATTTTCTCACTCCATGTTGTATTAAGTGACACTTGGCAGTAAAGCAACCTCCATACTTTACACAGAAGAATAGAGATGCTGTATTGGGTAAAATAGCATTTAACTCTAAAAGTATATACTGTCTTACCAGTACTAAATGCAATCGTAGGTATAATTGGTAGATTAAACAAGGTTTTGGTGCTTTTTACACTAGTAAAATGATAGTTAAAATATTTTTCAGGAAATAAAAAAAAGCACAAATTATGATCTTGCACTGTACTTTATATTACAATTATTATGTTATGAAATCTCTAATATATTGACTACAGGAACTGGAAAATTTAGAATTGACTTTGTAAAGCGCTACGGAATCTGTTGGCGCTATATAAATGGCAATAATAATAATAATAATATGAACATGAAGCATCATTTACGATTAAAGGAACACTATAGTCACCTAAATTACTTTAGCTAAATAAACCAGTTTTAGTGTATAGATCATTCCCCTGCAATTTCACTGCTCAATTCACTGTCATTTAGGAGTTAAATCACTTTGTTTCTGTTTATGCAGCCCTAGCCACACCTCCCCTGGCTATGATTGACAGAGCCTGCATGAAAAAAACTGGTTTCACTTTCAAACAGATGTAATTTACCTTAAATAATTGTATCTCAATCTCTAAATTGAACTTTAATCACATACAGGAGGCTCTTGCAGGGTCTAGCAAGCTATTAACATAGCAGGGGATAAGAAAATCTTAATTACACAGAACTTGCAATAAAGAAAGCCTAAATAGGGCTCTCTTTACAGGAAGTGTTTATGGAAGGCTGTGCAAGTCACATGCAGGGAGGTGTGACTAGGGTTCATAAACAAAGGGATTTAACTCCTAAATGGCAGAGGATTGAGCAGTGAGGCTGCAGGGGCATGTTCTATACACCAAAACTGCTTCATTAAGCTAAAGTTGTTCAGGTGACTATAGTGTCCCTTTAATGTTACAGATAAGTTTGAGCTATTACCAGTACATGGGGCAGAAAATTGCAGACACAGCTGGCTAAGCATCTTAGTCACTCTTTGAGATTTATTTGGTATTCTTCATATTGTCATATTGGAACTGATCTTATTTATTTATTTAAGTATTTAAAAATAAATGGGGGGGGGGAAGTATTTAATTGTTTAATGCAGCACTCAAATAGAACAAATGTATACAGATGTATATATCCTACAATCGCTCGTAGTTTTTACTATCCATATTGCTGGACAATGTCAATGTTGAGTCTTCATGACTTCACCTTTAACTGCAACAGCGAATGTTTCATGTTCTGCCAGCACCGACAGTCTAGCGTTGTTTTATTTGTTTGGAAATTAAGTTCGTCGGTTGCCTTTGTGATCACAGCTGGCTCGCACACTCATTCGGGAAGTCAATTTTTATCTAATGTTAAATTAGGTGCTTTATAGTCCTCATATGAAAGATTATGTGTCAATTGGAAGCAGCATTTATTGAACGTATATGATATGACTCTTCAGTCATCTTTCCATAAAGGCATTCACTGCAAAGAAGATTAACACTGTATTTTTGGCTTATGAAAGAGACCAGATGAAAATAATTTCATAAAATAAACAACACACAACCCCCCACTATTTTATTGTTGTGTATAAATATGGTTTTATTCTTAGAAATACTCTTTTCAATATAGTATACAATCTATCTATACACTGTTCAAGAGCAATTTTAAAAACCACAGCTTTTTTTTTGCTTTTTTCATTTTGTTTTAAGTAAAATTGATTGGAAAGTACGTTTCAAAGTTTGGAGGGAAAAAAAGAGATGGTCGGTAACATTAAACATAAGACACAAATTTCTTTAATAACTGGTGCATTTTCCAGGTCCCTATTAAATGTTTATGGTTACCTTAAGCTTCAGATTTCCTCGTAGAGCATAAAATGACTTTTCAAAGATTAAAACAGTGTTAAACCTTTACAGATAATAGAATAAATCTATTTTGTTTCAAGTGCATTCATCAGTTTGAAGAAGGAATTATAACCTTTCTGCAATCAATCCTCAAATGTTATTATCTGCCATATGAAGTGCCAAGAGAGAGGTCACCTTCTCCTTTACAAAGTATTTATAATATTTTTTTTAGATCGACGTCTGTAGGGATTGGTGTCTGAGAACTGTTATGCTTAGAAACAAATAATCTGTTACGACTGTACTGTTTGCATGTGAAGGACTGGACATGGGGTTAATAAGCAATGGCTTTCCTATGCTCTTTCAATAAAATATAAATGTGCGATAATAAAGGTTACATGGGGTGCATCTGCATCTGGAACCAGAAGGATCACAACAGATGTACGTAAACACAATCTCTTTTTCTTTTATTCCCATATGATAACTGAGAAGAGAATGCTGTTTCCCTTTTTAAAACAGAATTATTATTATTATTGCCATTTATATAGCGCCAACAGATTCTGTAGCGCTTTACAATATTATGAGAGGGGGGATTTAACTATAAATAGGACAATTACAAAAAACTTACAGGAACGATAGGTTGGAGAGGACCCTGCTCAAACGAGCTTACATTCTATAGGAGGTGGGGTGTAAAACACAATAGGACAGGAATTTGCAATCAAATAAGGTGGGAGTGAGGCAGAGCTGGAGGAGAGAGTAGAGTGCTGCCCTTTAGGAGAGTGCATGAGACAGGTATGTGAGTTAGAGGTTAGTCTGGGAGGCCATAAGCTTTCCTAAAGAGATGGGTTTTAAAGCACTTCTTAAAAGATGCCAGACTAGGGGAGAGTCTGATGGCGGTAGACAGGCTATTCCATAGGAACGGAGCTGTCCGCGAGAAGTCCTGCAAGCGTCAGTTGGCCATACGGGTGCGAACAACGGACAGGAGGTGGTCACGGGATTTCCTGCTCTGGTGTGTCTATCTATGTTTGGGGAAATTTCCTCGACTGTAGACATATGCACCAGAGCAGGGAATCCCTCTAATCTATGTTCGGGGAAAATTCCCTGAACATAGACCAGCTCTCTAACGTGGGGAACCCCTTGAATTCCCATGCAAGAGAACTGGTCGTAAGTGTGAGCCGTCGCAAAACAGGTAGGTTGCAAAGTGAGGACCACTTGTATTAATTTTGCCATCATTTAGTATTATACTAGATATATTTTCACAGCTCTGGGTCATATTTTTTGTGCATTCCTCATTCTATGGTCCTCTACCTGAGACCTGAGTATCTAAGGGTTCTGCACAGAATTTTAGCTGTTCCTAGAACTACACTCTTCAGAACAGAGATCTCAGGTGTCCCACTTGGCATCTACTGAAACCACTCTCCCAACTTGGGGGTTACAGCCTGAGTTCTCCTATAATCAATGTGACTACCACTGTCTTTACTTTCCACCTCCTGATGTTCCTTTTTCTTAAAGATATAGTCACTGGGCAACAATTCCAGCAATGTGGTTGTGCCTCTCAGTGTATGTTGTCCCTGTTAACATCTTGCACATGGCTACTATGTGCTGGATGTTTTCAGAGGACTCTATGTACAGTCTGCATCATGGAAGCCTGTCTGGTTGGTAGACCCCTACTTCTTTAAGTTGTACTTGTGAATGCTCTGTGTTTCATCCAGGACTGTGGCTTTGACACTCAATATACCCCCACCTCTTTCATTCCAGCTGGGTGCTAAATCCTCCATTCATAATGAGGTTTTTTTCTGAGTCTTGATATCCATGGTTTTCATGTCTTCTCTAGGCTACCTATTATTCCAGCTGGGTACTGTCACATATTCATCCGCTTATAGAAATGTGGTTAATGACATTTACTGTCCATACAGGAAAAGTTGTGCCGAGCAGCAACCTAATCCACAGAAGGGTTAATGCTGAGCAGTAATTGTGCAAATGAAACCTGGTGTCACGTATTCATCCGCTTATAGAAAAGTGGTTAATGACATTTAGTGTCCACACAGGAAAAGTTGTGCCGAGCAGCAACCTAATCCACAAAAGGGTTAATGCTGAGCAGCAATTATGCAAATGAAACCTGGTAACTGACTTTGGGGTCAAAGGCCGGTTACAGCCTATCAGAACTAAAGGAGGGGTATTTAGGCCCAGTTCTCAGCCTGCTCAGTGCCCTGTCGTGGTTTCCCTTGTGGTTGTCTGAGAGCGCGTTCCTGTTTATAGTTTTCTACCTGTTTTTGACTTTGGCTTTGTTTATTGACTTCTCTATATTCTGGTATCCTGACTCCTGGCTTTCCTCATCGCTGTGTCCCTTTCTGTGTTCCCTGACCTTGGCTAGTATTTTTGACTATTCTTTGTACGTTAAATCCGGCCATTCTAAGGACCGGTAATACGTTACTTATTTGTCATCCGTGCTGTACAGTTCTACGTGCTGGATCAAACAGTAATCCTGACAGGTACCTGATGACTGATAAAGCATACGTGTTCTTGCCATTGAGCTTAGGCATCAGTACCTGACTGACTCTCCAGAGGTACTTAGATGTTGCTGTCCTTGCCTATTTATCATGGTACCCATGTGGTTAAACTATCCCTAAGTATTTGTAACTGTTCTCTGTGTCTGTTATTTGGCCTTCTGGCACTTCACCTCCTTCCATCCTGATCATCTTCCCTCTTTTTGCTATCATCTATCCACACTTATCTAGTTTGCATTCCAATGTCCTTGCTATATATTCTAGTTCGGTGGATAAGACGATAAGATAAGTTGATGTACCGCTCTTGCATACAGCTTGATGTCATCAATGTAGAGTAGGTTGCTGGTGATCCACTCTAATTATGCCATTTATTCTATCTCAGTGCTACATTACATATATTTTTTTCTCATCTAAAAATAAATAAATCAGGTAGTTCCATAAGACGAATGCTAAACAAATCTTTTAAAAATAGCATAGGTGTGTCTAGGCTGCTTATACAATGTTTGAACATAGTCCAGAGGAGCTTAGTGTCACAACTGGAATTGGATTTGTGTGGCTTAGACTACACAAAAGAGCATACATGAACCATGGAGGAGATAGATAGATAGAAAACACACAAATATAATATATATTTTTGGTGGTATATAGTTCGGTTTAATGGTGCATACAGGATGCAATAGAAAATAAATGTGACATTCCAGCCTTAGTCATGTATTGTGATTGTGTGTGTGTGTGTGTGTGTGTGTCTGTGTCTATATATAATTTATCTAATATTATACATACACAGTTTAACTTCCAAGACAAACTATTTGCATTTTTAAGTCTTTTTTCTAAATTTTTATTTTATTTTCTGGGTGCACAGAGATAACAAAGAGTATTTATGCATGGATGAGACAACGACAAGTCTGCATAACAAGTATAATAAGTGCAGATATACAGCAGCAACCTTTGTGTAAGAGCATACATGAGAGAGATTCTATTCTCAGAATGTTTATGTACTGGAGTTAACAGAGTTTATAATGGGGTAGTCGGTGAAGTAGAGGGGTCTTGTGATGGCCCACTAACTAAGAGGACTCAATTAATAGTTTTGGTCTCAGTGGTTGGATGATAACCCTCAGTCCCAAGGAGGGGGTGGGGGGTGTCTTTTTGCAGTGCTTTTGCAGGGTAAGGATCTGTGGAGATGCTACAGTTTGTCAATAGTAGGGAAAAACATTCAGGATATTGGGGTGACTATGGACCCTAGCTGGGTACAGTAGTGAGATCAGACTATGTGCTCTTTATTGTCTAGTGGGTGACATTCAGGGGACACCTCACTGGTGTAGGGCAATGTCACTAAGGCTCGCTGAGGCGGGGGAGAGAGATGAGTGGAGCCGTTCCACTAGGCCTGTAGACAATGCCCCGCAGCAGACCACCTGGGGGGGTCACATGTATGGGGTTCTCCAATGTGTGGCTCCATGTGCCTGCTGCCACAATCTCTTATGCTCATGCCCAATCTTGGCTTGTCTGCCTTCTGATTTTTAGATTTTTGGCCCATATCAATGTGGGCTGTCTGGGGATCCAGTTGGGGTCGATTAGTTTGGCCTAGGGGTTGGTGATAGTAGTAAAAATAGCCTTTGAGTCATGGAGCACCGCAGACATGTGACCGCTCGGTTCAGTAGCTTGACTCCGCCCCCCAAGACACATATATTTTTACATGCAAGAATATTAAATTGCATACAAAGTGATAAAACCTGCTAACAATTTCAAAAGAACTTCAGACCGTCCTTTTAAGTGTACCTGTATAATGTGTCATGATCCTAAGATTCAGAGGCTTACTCCAAGCACCAATGATGCAAAATATATCACACAAAGAACTCTTGAAGCTCAAGAACTCTTTTAATTCAAAAGGATATTCCAGCTAAAGCAGTGGTCCCCAAAAAGTCTTCATGGCCCACCAACAATCCAGATTTATGTATAAAACTAACTAAACCTGGACTGTTGGTGGGCTTTATCTTGGAAACCAATGGGAGAACAAGGATTGGATCTGAGCCAGCTTCTGTTCCCCATACATGCTAGCAGCTAGTGACTTGAGGAGATCAGTGGGAAAACCTACAAAAGGAACATAAACATAAGCAAGAATCTTTTAAAAAAAAAATGTTATGTATTTAAAACGTAATTTTTGGGGAAATACATGATTGTTACCATTTTGATTCATTTTTTGTAAGAGTTTTATTTTTATTTTCTCCATTTCTCCCATAAATGTTTTATAACTCAAGAACACATCAGATTCTTTTCTTCGTATTTTTTTCTCAGTGAAGGACCCAGGACTTTAAGGAGAAATGACAGCAACACAAAGAGAAGTGTGGTATTCCCAGCTAATACCTAATCCACTTCCTGCACGACTTTACAATACTTTCCACCCTCACTTGTGATAGTTTAACATTCCTTGCCGGTGAGGCAGCTGATAATTCTTTGTGAAGCTAAAACCATTTTAAGTTCCTCTTGTTTATGCCATTTGCTCCAAAGCCAAACAACTCAAGCATCATTAAAATGTTAAATACTAACAAAAGACTCTTGCAGACTAGTACCATTTTGCGGTTCCCCTGAACGTTTTGCTACATAGCTTCCTGCCGATTTTTAAAAGGATGAATGGAAAAAAATTGGTAGTGTGCACAAATGGAAAAAAACTGCTAATCCTGTTAAATGAATGGGAATTCTGCTTTTCAATATATATTAGCAAAGTTCTTTACAAATACAGTGTAATTAGAATGACATAAAATTACTAGCGACCTTTCGGGGCAACCCTGCATAACCATTGACATGGAAATGTTAAAATCATATAAAAGTAATCAAAAGCAAATAGAGAAGTGTTCTTATTTTAGGAACATGTTCAGTTTGTGTTTAACAAGTTCAAGATATAAATGTATTACTGCTTTCTTGTCTTGTTTTGTTTTTTGTTTATGTTAGATTCTGTAATCTTGTTTCCATGGCCTCACGGATCAGAGATGAACTAATGAAAATGTTGGGTTTGTGACATAAATCATCAGTGTATGTAAAATAACGCACAGAGTGGTAAATAAACAGCTATATACTAATTACTGAAGCCAGTGGTGACCAAAGGGTCAATCTCCAGTCAGCAATTTATTTAGGGATTCTACTGCCAAGCAAAATTTATGAATTCTCAGCAGGTAACAAGATGCTAAGGGCATGGGAGCATAACAAGCCTGCTTTAGACAGCAGCCTACTATCAAACTTGCTGAACTAGGTCTAGGCCATGCTGGCTTATGGCACAATAAATCCCTGTCCGCAGCTTTTTCAAAACTACAACTCACATATTTTAGGCAAAGCATCATGGGAGCTGTAGTTCTGTATCAGCTGGAGACCTACTTTCTGGCTTTTTTCTAAAGATAAGAAAAACTAAAGTGTAACTGAAATGTATCAGTCGGGTTACTCACAATTCCGATTGTGGTGAATTGAAACACTAAATTGCACAATTTAGTCGATTTAGAAAAAAATACACTAATCTACAGTCACAAATAAATTATTTTAGTCTTAATTCTGCAAAATGTTTTTCTGTAAACAATTTGATGTTTAGTGAATAAATCCCAATGGGTGAATGAATATTGAACAATTAAGTGATAAGTGACATATGGACCCACTCCTTCTTTCTACTCTGGTGTCCCTTTTTGTTAGTCATTAATATTTGTTGTGTTTATCACCAACCTGCAAAGACACACATACTGAGCTACGTTAACAGGTTAACCACTAGAACATTACATATCAGATTTCGAGAACATTTCAAGAATATAAGAACCAATAAAGTAGAACATAGTGTTCCTAAACATTGTAACACTTGCACACTTTTTAATTGGTCTACTTTCATCGTTATTGGTATAGATTCCATTGAAAAACATTGGAGAGGGGGAAATAAAATCCACGAGCTAGCTAAAAAGGAGGCACAGTGGATATATACTTCAAAAACCCTTAAAACTGGTTTAAACCAGGATATTGATCTAACAGGGCTCCTCTAATGTCTTGATTGAGTAATTTATTTTTGTGGACTCCCTTTACTATTTATATAGATGGTTTATGGTAGAACTAATAACACCTCTTTGGTTCTCTTATTCTCACCTGTGGGTTTATTAGACCATCCTTTTGATGGACATATGTATATATATATATATTTTGTATAATTTAACTAATCTTTGTTTCCTTCTTTTATAGAGAATTCAGAGGGATTTTTATATTCTGTATAAATATACCTATTTGTGCTTTATAGATATTCAGATGATTTTTAGATCTATATGGCTATATTTGTACATATTAGCAGATTCACATGACACCTATTTGGTAATTCCATGTATTAATATAGTGGATTTTTTCAATCCTCTCCCCTCTCTTTTTTTTGTGTATATATTTTTTTATGTATTTTCCTTTTTTTAGCAATCATTTCTACCTTTTTATTATGTGTAATATTTTGGTTTTTATGTGAACCTGCTGGTATATTTTTTCTTTTTGTATATTGGTGTTTATTTGTTCATTTGATCTGTGGTGTATATATACAAATGTTTCCAAGATGACAGTGGGTTGTTGGTTTTTGCCCACTGTCATCCTGGTTTGTTTCGCTGGCTATCTTTTCTTATATGCGTTCCACCATGGAACACTATATTACGGCTATTTTTTAGTACTTCCGATGTGCGTTCCACTCTGGGACGCGGAAGTTTTAGATACGTCTATAAGTCATATTATGCACTAACACGTTTGCCCAGTAGAGAATTACCTACATCAGAACCTGGAAGCACCAGCTGCCGCGGGAAAATCAGATTAATGAAGAGTACCTTCGCTCAAGGATATATAAAGAAATCATTTCTGGACTTTACTCATATCCCTGAAGAAGACAGTATTTGATGAAACGCGTTGGATTGAGTACCTGGATTTCTTTTCATTTCCAGTTTATCTTATGATTTGTTTATTTTTTGATTGTATATATATATACATTCTTTTATATATTAGTATTATTTTTGTTGTGACCAGCTACTACTCCACATTCAGCATAGACGAATTTCATATCACAAAATATATATATATATATATATATATATATATACATATACAGTCATGGGAAAAAGAAAGTACGCCCTCTTTGGATTCTATGGTTTTACATATCCGCACATAACAGCAGTCTTCCGTTCCATAGCAGGTCTTAAAATAAGGTAAATACAACCTCAGGTGAACAACAACAGGGGATATATCACACCATGTCATGATTTATTTAATAAAAATAAAGGCAAAATGGAGAAGCCATGTGTGAAAAACACTGTTTCCATAGGAATTAAGAGGCTAAGTAACAGACAGGTGCTCCTAATCAAATGCCCTTGATTATTTGATCATCCGCAAGTGTGACCAACTCTATAAAAGCCAAAGTTTTAAAATTTGCTGATCTGGAGCATTCAGGTGTTTGTTAATACAATGCCAAGTAGTGGGAGAAATTGGGAGTGGGAGATGCTGGATCAATTGTCTAGTGTGAGACTAGGTTTAGCTTGCTGCTGTATCTAGCTAGATATTGCCAGGGGCACTTAGAATATTGTCATTGCTCCAAGTGAAAATATGTTACCAGTATACAGTTGTTAATTATTTTTGTTAGCTGTTTGGAGAAAGAACATTTTTCCCCCCGCCAAGTGTGTTCAGTCTTATGTGAGCTATGCAAGTGTGTGAGTTTCTTAATATCAAAATAATAATGTTACAGTAGTAAATCCACCAAGCAGCAACACATTTTACAGCACAAACACCTATTTTTGTATTAGTTTACAAAATCATTCAAATACCTATTTTATTGTAACAAGAAAAGCAAACCCACCCTTATCAATGTAACATACGACTCGCAAGACAAAATTGATAGAGGATAGGGGTAGGGGAAGGGTTCCTGTTTTCCAATCCACTTTCAGCAGCAGTGCCATGGCTTCTGAGAGTCTGAACACCTTGGCCATGAGGACTGTTGAAACTTCCGCAATCTCCACCACTGTTGGTAATATTCATCCTCAGGATTAGCAGATACAAGCAGTATAAGCAATATAAGGGAGGTTTTTATATCTACTAAAACTAGTGCTTGGGCAGCCACAAGAAAGGCCAGATTCCATGGGGATGTGGCCTATAAAATACCGGGGTGCATTGTCTCCCCCATGTCCCAACCCATTGGCATTTGGTGGAGGCTATTATAACATAACCCAAGGAGGACCTAATGTTCTCCACAGCCCCCACCATGGTTATCCGGTGAGAGCTATTCTAATACATCTGGAGTGGACTTAATGTCTTCATCCCAGCCCCCACAATGGACAGCTCTAAATACAAATACAAGGATGAACATGCCATTGTCCACCCCCAAAATTTGGGCCATTGTTAAGCCTCATTTAGCTAAATTAAAATAAAGTGACCCCCTCACCCTAATAATAGTTAGAAGGCATTAAAACGAATAACTGTAAATAAAAAAAATATACTCACCATCAGAAGTCTTGCGTCTTCTAAATTTTATTTTATTCAACACCAAAAAAGCACAAAATAAAATCCATAGTGATACAATGCAAGTACTTAAATGTAAAAATACCCAATTTAAAAAAAAAAAAAATAATGCAAAAATCAAGAAGGCTTTCCCATTCTTTGAATTCTTATTAGAGCGCTGTGACTGCTTGGCTTGTAAGCCTCAAAATTGGCATAGTCCTAAAAATCAATTTGTCAAATTTCCATAAATGAACACTACGACCCATATTTGGCCCTGTAACTTGCAAAAATAACAGCAAACATACATGGGAGGATGGCATTCTTGTACTTGTTGAACAGAAATAGTGGTCAGGTTTATGAAATTTGCTGTAATAAATGCCATGCTGAGCTTGGATTTTTTTTTCTTAATTAATCACGATATGCCAGTTTACTGCATGCTTAAGGGGTTGATAAAATACTCGTTCCTGCTATTGTTTTCCTCTCCATACTTTTTATTTTGTAGATTTGAAATTCTCTCCAGACATTTAGGTTAAGCAGCTCCCTGTGCCAGGTGCTCATTAATGGTGTTTAAAGTGGTCCATAAATTACTGGACAGTTTCAGTATGCATATTTATCTCCATTGGAAGCAATAGATTTGCGGCAGATTCTACGTTTATAGAGATTAATCTACTATTAAAGTAATTAAATTAGGTTGGAATGCCAAATCTGGGGTGATTTGATGCAGTAGCTTGCAAAGTCCTCGTTTTTTTATTTCTGGTTTGTGTTAAAAAAAAAAAGTGAAAAGGGTAGGTGTTAGGCTGAAAACATAGTAATTTAGACTCACTTTTATTAGAGTGTACAAAAAGTCTGGTTATTTAGCATACTTGGATGGTATTTAATGTTCCTGGAAATAGTATTATTGCACACTGTAGGAATTCAGATCAGATGGCCATGTGATTTTGAAATATCTATGATTTCAGTCTAGTCCTTTGCTGACCCATAGTGGACATTAAAGAAAGTGCATCTACAACATCATAAATTGACCAGATTGCTATTAATACATTATATGCCACTATATAAAATGTAAACCAAACATAAAAAAAAATAGAACACGTTTAATAGATGACTAGAAGTCAATATTATATTGCAGGGAAGTAGAACCACTAGAACAGATAGTATAAAGTAGATAAGAGAATAACAAACCAGAATATAGATTTAAGGAATTTAAAATATAAGTATTATCAAAAGGCATTCAAAAGAACAGACAATATAAATATATTAGTAAAGACAAAATATAAATTATCTTTGGGGACAATAGGTATATTGTGAGGCGCTAAAAATCTCAGTTAAAAAATTCTGTCCATCAGTTATTTGTAAAATTGATTTATTATACGTAATATATTTTAACTGAAAAGATAGATAGATAGGGCATTTAATCAGCAAAAACAGTTATTCAATCCAATTTAAAATGGGTTAAAATGCAAACATTGAGCGAAACATTAATGTGAGTCAAGTCACCACTCTCCAGAGTCTCTACATCTTCACTCACTGCCTGAAGTATACATTTGCGAGTTTACAGGGTCAACACGCAGAGATCCACCCAAAAACAGAATGCATTTATTGAAGAGTAGATAACCTGGTATCAAGAGACGTATTGTAACTCCTCCTTTATGCAGCTTTGCAACTCTAGATTTTACTAATGTTAGTAGTGATGTCTAATTTGGTTGAACACCTCTTGAAATAATTGCACAATAGTTTGTGATATTTTTTGGGGGTGGGGGGGGTTTACGCTCTTTAACGTAATGTAGTTAATTCTACACAGACAAAGTTTCTCAGGACGCATAAATGTCCCGGTTTTTGCTGACCTGTTATTTTCCTTCTTGGGCCTTCTCCCACACCGGTCCCAAGGCAGTTTGCCACAGCAGAGGGAGATATGGAGCTGGGCCTGGGAGGCAGAAAGTGTAACGTTGCCGCGCATTACCATGGCAATGCTCCGACACTGCAGTGTATTTGCAGGAGGAGAGAGAGGTCAGCCTGCAGCCAGAGGAGCTTCAGGCTGAACTGGATGCACCACCACTGGACCACCTGAGCTTGAAAAGTCATCCCCTCCTCCGGTCAAAGGTAAGAAGAAAAGGGGGTAATATAAAGCACCCTACACACACTACACCCCTCCAGACACACACTGACCCCCACACACACTGAACCCCTACACACACACTACACCCTTCCAACACACACTGCAGCCCCGCACACACATTAAACCCCACACACACACACAACACCCCACACACACACAGCACCCATCCACACACTGAACCCCTCCACATACTGCACCCCTGCACACACACTGCAATCCTGCACACACACTGACCCCCAACACCCCCCCACGCACACTACACCCCCCACACACACTGCACCCATGCACACACACAGAAAAAAAGTAGCAAGAGATCCCCGAAGGGCAGGCTATTTCAGATGTTGTCCATTCTCAGTACACTCTTGTGCCTTGTTTTTTGCTCTCCATAAGTTTAAATGGTAATCCAGACGTGGACCCCTTGCTCACAGTGCCAAGAGAGATATCAGCTATGCTTCACTGATGATGCCTAACAAGGTTGAAACGATCGTCTGGGGTTGCTGTGTCTCTTGTGCAAAGGGAACTTTCTGGCATTTCGGATCTGGACTGTCCATAAGGGTGGGACCAGTATGAAATGCTTCAGATATGTTCTCTCTGTGATGGCACAAGATGAGCTAAAACTAGCTTCAGATCTGAGCGGGGACCCTACGAAGGGCAGGCTATTTCAGATGCTGTCCATTCTCAGCACACTCTTGCGCCTTGTTTTTTCGTTAGAATATACAAACTGATTTACATGGTCCACCCCTGTCTTTCACATCTACGTGCTACTCATATCTTCCTACATTGATCCCAACCATCAACTTGCATTTACCAGTTTTCAAATGTTCTACTTTTTTGACAATGCAATGCTTAAAACATCCATCTAAGAATGTGGCTCCTAAAGATTTATTTACTGTAGAGCAGATTATAGTGCATCTGATTTTCTCCACTATAAATTTATGCTGCGCTCATACAGCTTGGCTTTCCTCTGCAAAAGTAAATTACTTCAATACCTTCATAGCCACACTCTCCTGCGAACCCAAACAACTATTTCACACATTTATCTCTCTTCTTCACTCTATTGTTCCTCCTCCACCTACTAACTTGGCCGCCTCAGACTTTCAAACTCACTTCACTGACAAGATTTCTACAATCAGAAAAGAGATGTCTCGTCTTTCTTCCAATACTTACCCTAATCTCACTCCCTCTGCTGTTCTATGTTCATTCGCACCCGCTACAGCGGAAGAGGTTTCTGCTCTGCTCCAGTCCTGCCCCACCACCTGCTCCATAGATCCAATTCCCTCGCACCTCATACGTACTCTGTCTTCTTCTCTTTCTCTGCCTCTCACTAAAATTCTCAATCTCTCTCTATCTCCTCTGGCATATTTCCATCGCCCTTCAAACATGCAACTATAACCCCAATTCTAAAGAAACCCAACCTTGACCCTAACTCACCATCCAACCACCGTCCTATCTCGCTACTGCCTTTTGCATCCAAGATCCTTGGAAGAGTTGTGTATGCAAGATTGACAGACTTCCTTGAGTCCAACTCTCTGCTAGACCTGCTTCACTCTGGTTTCCGTGCTAAGCACTCTGTGGAAACGGCATTGACCAAAGCTTCCAATGATCTACTCGCTACAAAATCTCGTGGTCACTACTCTATCCTTATTCTCCTTGACCTTTCTGCGGCTTTTGACACTGTTGATCCCCAACAGCTTTTTCTCATTCTCCGCAATATCGGTCTACAAGATATTGCTCTCTCCTGGTGCTCCTCCTACCTCTCCCAGCGCTCTTTCAGTGTTTCTTTCTCTGGCTCTGCTTCTTCTTTCCAACTCCTCACTGTTGGTGTCCCCCAAGGTTCAGTCCTTGGTCCCCTACTGTTCTCTAGCTATACTGCCTCGCCTGGTAAACACATTAGCTCCTTTGGCTTCCAATGTCATTTCTATGTGGATGACACACAAATCTATCTGTCCTCTCCTGATCTCTCCACGTCCCTCTTGACTAGTGTCTCAACATGACCAAAACTGAAATTCTGGTCTTTCCTTCCTCAAGTGTTGCTACTCTTGTGTCTGTCTCCCTCCAAGTCAACGGTGCTACCATCAGCTCCACCATGCAGGCTCGCTGACTAGGTGTTCTCTTTGACTCCGACCTCTCCTTCATGCCTCATGTTCAGATATCGCCAAATCCTGCCGCTTCCATCTCAAAAACATTGCGCACTAAGGTGCTGGTCCATTCCACTGTCCTTTCTCGCCTTGACTGGTTGTCTGGTTACAACCACATGTTTGTTCGTCCACCCACTGTAAAGTGCTGCGGAATTTGTTGGCGCTATATAAATAATAACATAATATAGTATTAACCCCTTCAGACCGGAGGGTGTACTATTACGCCCTATTATAGGCGGCTCTAAACGCCGCTGGGCATAATAGTACGCCCTCCTGTCTTTCGGTACTTACCCGGTCGCCGGCGGTCCCAGGCCGGCGATCGCGGTGGGGGGCACTCCCAGGGAGCCCCCCGCGGCACTTACGTCCTCCACGAAGCCCCCCGGCCATGTGAGAGTGGGGTCCTTGCGAGGACCCCACAATCACATGGCCGGGGATAGCTGGCTTCTGTATTGCCAGCAGGGGGGCTGCCTGTAATGACAGGTGGTCCCCCTGCTGGCTGAAAATAAAATTAAAACAAATAAATGGTGTAAAAAAAAAATAATATATACTTAGATCATATATATATTATATATATATATATGATCTAAGTATATATATATACACATATACATACACACATGTACACCGTCTAGGTGTATTTTACTATTAATATATATATAATTATATATATATATATATTAATATCAAATTACACGTAGACTGATACTGATTATATATATATATAATTATTGTTATATATATATTTAATGTAAATGTAAATACGTTAAAAAATAAAATTTAAAATTTAAAAAAAAAAAAACGCCAATTTTGGCCAGTGTTTGTGACCAAATGGCTACTAAAAAAGACTGGACATACCCCATTTGCAATACCTTGGGTTGTCTACTATTGCAAATGGTATGCCATTATGGGTGTAAATTTCATTCCCGGGCTACTATACAGTCTCAAAGGCAACGTAACCAATCTGGCGAATTTCAATTTCAAATGTAACGTGCTATATTTGACCCTGTAACTTCCCAAAACGCCATAAAACCTGTACATAGGGGGTACTGTCTTACACGTGAGACTTTACTGAATACAAATATGTGTATTTTATTGCAGTAAAAGCAAACAGTATTATGACATTGACCGTTAAAATGTCATGTAGAACTAAAAAAATAAAAATAAATCGTATTTTCTCCCATTTTTTTCATATTAAATTATGTTTCATAGCTAAATATTTGATATTAAATGAAAGCCCTGTTTCCCCTGAATAAAATGATATATAATAAGGGTGGGTGCATTTACTATGAAAGAGGTGAATTACGGTTGGACAGACATGTAGCGCAAATGCCAGGTTTTGTTTACATTTTGTTTTGTTCACAACATGTACATTTGGCTCCATCCTTAAGGGGTTAATAGTGAATGGAACACAAATTTACAAACTTCAAGCAAAAGTAGCTAATTTCCCTTTTTTTCTGTTTATCCTAGATGCAGCAAATTGGTTTTGAATTTTCTACAGTGTGCTGTTTAGTTGGAATCTATTGAAATCTGTACTTCTTGTAAAATGAATAAAGAGGACACACTCTTCAAACATAAAGCACTTCAGCAAGTTAAAGTGCTTTGGGGGTCAGGAGTGTCCATTTAACTTCATGAGGATCGATAACGGCTTAGTCCTCTTGAGGACTGATGACTGTCCTGAACTGTCATGACTTAAAACAAACAGCGGGGGCGATCGGAGTTTGCGTCCACCGAAATACCGCTGTTACTATCTGCCAGGCACGAGAGGCAGATAGTAACAGCCAATTATTATGTTTGAGCAACACGCGATCGCTCATTATTGGCTGCTGTGGGTGTTACAAACACTCACATTGACATTGATCTCTGCCCCTCTCCCCTCTGTAGTGTTTTGAGAGGGAGAGAGACAGAGATCAGTGATAGTTTGTTGCCAGAAGTTTTCTAGAGCCTGTGAAAAAGTGTAAAAAATTTATACAATTCTTTTTTAACCCTTTCTCTGCCAAATCCTGTTACAGCCGTGCATTTGTATTGCCTGTATTTTTAATTTTATTTTGCCCTTAAGGGTTATTTTTTGTTAAAAAGCTATGTATTAGGTCGTTTTAGTCTGTTTTAGTCATTTTATCATAGAGTTAGGTAGATTGTAAAAGAAAAAAAATGTGTGTTAGTAATTTGTTAGTTTAGTCAGTTAGGTTGTTTAAATATGCAGCGCATGTACAGTTTGGAGGAGGCATATGCCTTTTTGACCCCACTGACACTATGTCAGATTTTGACCCAGGTCAGTTTTCTGACACGTCTAGTGACACGTCATCCGTGTGTGAGCTGGCTGCAAAAAGAAGCTGTGCTTCCCCTGCTATGCCGAATGTGAAGGAGGAGTGGGTACCTCCACAGTTAGCTGAGCCCAACATCCCCCCCATTTAGTGCCAAGGCAGGCATTAATGTCAATGTGCATGACTTCTCCCCTATGCAATACATGGAGTTATTTTTAGGGGATTCTATCTGGGAGGAGATTGCTTCCCAGACTAATCTATATGCTACCCAATTTATTGATACCAATTCAGGAATCAAAGAACATGCTTGGCATTCCACAGATCTCCTTGAACTCAAACAATTCTGGGCTCTTACTATGCTCATGTGTATTATAAAGAAGCCATCAATTCATTCCTACTGGAACACTTTCTGGTTTGCAGACACTGGCCAGTGGCACTGTGCGAAAAAATTCCAAAGATTTCCCCAGACCTCTCATACATTGCAAATTTAAAAAAGGAGAAAGCCAAGCTCCGGGCAAAGCTGAAGTGTTAGCAATACAATTTAAGGACAAAAAGGTTGTTAACATGATAACCACCATCCATGACGAAACAATGTCAGACGTCACTGTCTGAGGCAGAGTACAGACCAAACCTGTTTGCATCAGGATTTATAACCGGCACATTGGGGGTGTTGATTTGGCTGATTAGCTAATGCAGTCATATCTGATCGTAAGAAAGACAAAAACCTGGTATAAAATGATGGCTATCTATCTTATGCAAGCAGCAACGCACAATTCATTTGTACTTAAATAAAAAAAAAGAATGAATCCAGGAAGAACCACCTTTCTCCAATTTCAGCTCAAGCTGATTTCTACAATAATTTATGAAGATGATCAAGTTCCAACAACAGTGCTAGAGGAGTCCAGAATTGGGGCTACACGTTTCATTTTCAAGATACCGCCAACTGAAAAAAAAGCCAATCTCCAAAAAACTTTGCCGAGTCTGGTACAAAAAAGGGAAAAAGACAGACACCCCCTTTTACTGTCCCGAATACTGTCCCATTTTTTGGACAAAATGGTTAGGGGTAAGAAGTCAAAACACACCATCTTCTATATCCTTGGATGTCTACTTTATAAAAATATATACTTTCAAACCATAAATTCAACTTGGGGGATGTAAAAATGCACCACACTCAACATGTGCCTAGCAAAGCAAGCAAACTATATTCAGCCAAAATGGGCAAGTCCAAAATTTGGCACTGTAATATCGTGGCAAACCAATGCATGGGGGGGCATAGCTGTACCCAGGGAACTTTGCAGAAAACAAACTGGGGTGTTTTCTGGCAGCAACATATAACCAGCTGGCTAAAATAAAAAAGTAGAATTTAAAAATTACCACCATGTACTTTCTCTGAAATTTTTTTAGCACAATGGTTGGGGGAAGGAGGTTAAAACACCTCATATACAATACCCTAACATGTCTACTTTTCAAAAATATATACTTTCATGATGGTAACATTAACTGGGGGATGCACAACTACGCCAAACTGAAGATAGGCCAAGCATATCTATATATCGAGTTGAAAAACTGGCATGCACAAGTCTCTATTGTGGTCTTTTAGCCCCCAAACAACCCAGCAAGCCTATGCATGGGTGATATCACTGTACTCAGGAGATGTTGCTGAACACATATTGGGGTGTTGTTAGGCAGTGACACATAACATGATCAGTTACTTTATGTCTAAAAGTACAATGTGTGTGGAAAAAAATCAAACAAAGAAATTTCCTTACAATTAAATATATGGTTTGATGGGGGTAAAATACATTGGCCGGCTTCAAAATTGCCCCAAATAGGACATGGGCGCAGGTTCACTACATGTCAAAATTCCAAGCTGGGAAACGGATATGAGCACCTGCCAAATGTGGCCGTTTAGCCCCCAAACAACCTGACAAAAATATGCATGTGTGGTATCACTGTACTCAGGAGATATTGATAGACACATATTAGTGTGTTTTTTGGCAGCAACACATGACAGGATCTGTGAATTTATACCTGAATTGCAATGTATTTGAAAAAATAAAACAAAGAAATTACCTATGCGAAGTTTGGCAAATATTGGTGGTAAAATGGCTGCATAGAAAGTGTCAAAATATCCTTAGATGAATACCCTGGGTTGTCTACTTTAAAAAAAAATATGTACATGTGGGGTGTGATTCAGAGATTTACCACAGATGACAGTGTTAGAATGTCACTATTGATACATTTTAAAAATATATATTTTGAAACAGCAATGTAAAAACTTGTACTTATAGCCCTATAACTTGCAAAAAAAAAAGTATGTAAACACTGGGTGTTTTTAAACTCTGGACAAAATTTTGAATCTATTCAGCAGTTTTTTTCATCAGCTTTAGTAGATGAGAAAAAGATTTTTCAAATAAAAGTCAAAAAACATGTTTTCGTTTTTTTTCAATCAATATTTGTAAAGTAAATTATATGACATGATACAAATAATGGTATGTAAAGAAAGCCCTTTTTGTCTTGCTAAAAAACAAACAATATATAATTTGTATGGGAACAGTAAATGAGGGAGAGGAAAATTACAGCTAAACACAAACACCACAAAAGTGTTAAACCAGCCCTGGTCCATAACGTACAACATCGTCAAAACAGTTCGGTCCTTAAGGGATTAAATATGAAATGACTGTCTATTTTCCTACCGGATTTTTATGGGGGTTAATAATCATTGACTTGCCTTTTCAACTTTACCATGAACTGAACCAGGTTTACAATTTCATTATCTATGGGAGACACAGAAACTAGTCCCTAACAAAGAAATTTTGTAGCATGAAAACAACTGAGAGTCGCTAACTTTAGTAACAGCCATTTTAATAATTATCAGTTTGTCAGTAAAAGAGAGCAACTATAATGTCAGTAATATGATTGAAAATGAAACCATTTTCTTCATGTAGGCTGAGTGAGTCACATAAACAGAAACAAAAATTGATTTAGCTCCTAAATAGTAGAGAATTGAGCAGTGCTACTGAAGGGGCATGACATATATGCCAAGACAATTTCATTAGGATAAAGTGTCTTGGAGCTTAGAGTATCCTTATCTCTCATTAATTTATGTGGAAGAAATTAAAAGTTATGGCAGCCGCTAATAATTAGACGCTAACAGTGAAATTATGTAGCATGGAAACAGACATTTGCAAATGTTTGACAGACGTTTCAAAGATTACCTCTTGTTGGTAACTTATTACATCAAGTATGGAAAGCGCACAGAGCAGATATCGTTACAAAAATTGTGTTACTTGTAACAGGAGATCCCCATATGTGTCTGGAGAAGATATGCTGTATACATTTTGTAAATTATATTTTAATTTCTCTATCTCCCTATTTTAAAATACAGCATACAGGATTTAAAGTTTTTAGTACCTAACGTGACTTAATGCACAATTATTATATCCAGAGGCGCGGACTGCAGCAAAATAATGACTTTGAGATCAATATGGATGCTGCATTGACCATGTATTGGAGGTTCTAAAACAGTACATGCAAACCTATAATTAATTAGTGTGCAAACAGAAGAGATTTAAGTAGTTACAAAAAGAAAATGCTACAACCTAAAATTTCAAATCTTTTTCAGCATCACTTGTTTGAATTATTAATGTACAGTTAACAATTTTAGAAATTCTCATATATTACATGGCAAATAATGTTGGCTCTTAAAAAATACATCTTCAAAGGGGATATGATCTGAGCACTTACCTAGCAGCCTTCATAGATATTCTCTCACCATGAGCACACACTGTCTTGTTCCTATTATTATTATTATTATTTTATTATTTATATAGTGCCAGCAAATTCCATAGCACTGTACAATGGATGGACTAACAGACACGTAATTGTAACCAGACAAATGGACGCAATGGAACAGAGGGGTTGATGGCCCTGCTCAATGAGCTTACATGCTAGAGGGAGTGGGGAATAGTGATACCAGGTGTAATGAAATAGATTGCTAGAAAAGTATTCACTGAGAACTTAGTAGGTTATTTTTGACAGTTGCATGAGAGTAGTCATGTTTAAGTGATATGCTTTCCTGAAGAAGTGTGTTTTCAAAGACTTTTTGAAGGAGTGGAGACTGGGTGAAAGTCTAACGGAGAAGGGAAGGGAGTTCCACAGAAAAGGTGCAGCCCTGGAGAAGTCTTGGAGGTGAGTATCAGATGTGGGAGTACTGATGGCGTTGCTATAGCTAACGACTGTTATGGGAAGCCATAGAACTTGACAGAAGTAGCTTTGCCACTTGTCAAGTTAGGCATTTGGCATAATACAAGGTAGTCCCTTCTTTGTCTTCTGATGAATGTTGACTGTGTTGTAATTTTAATGAAATCAATAAAAGATAAAAAGGTTATATCTTTATGATTTGATTTGGTGGGTAGGGCCTCTTTAAGTGATACTATGCTGCATCCACTCACATAGACAACATATCTGTGATCCAGGGTACCGAGGGCACACCATACAGCACTGTTTCAGTGGTCTCTGCAGGGTCCTAGTACCTGAACATAGCGTCTAATGATGTACTTGCTTTATGCTTCTTGGGGGCAGTTCCTTGTTGTCCCCAAAAGTGTGATACCAGGAAACTAAAACCTTGATTTAATAAGGTTTCCAAAGAATTCAATACTGCTGAAACAAAAGTTACAAATTATTTATCTACAAAGTCACCATTAAAGTCTATGGTATGTTCTGTAGATAAATTATTTGAAAGGGTTTTTAACAGTATTGAATCATTTGGAAACCTTATTAAATCTAAGCCCAAGTCGGGACAGCTAAACAGGTTCCAAAAATAGGGACTGCCCTGCCAAAATCGTTGGAAGGCCTGCAATATGTTTACCACATGACAATCAGGTATATTTCAAACACATAACATATGTTACTTATCATTTTTATAAATTAAAATGTTTAGTAAACTCAAACATTTGTTTTGCACAAGTGCACTTCGTCTGAAAATAAATAAATTTTTAGGACAGCCAAATTTCATCTATGTGGCAGTTCGGCTCATTCAAATTAATCAGACAAATCAAAAAGGCACAAAAATGGGCCAGTCAGCATATTACGAAATATGTACATAACATAAATATTTTTCCCACTATTTTGCTCAAGTGATACAAAGTATAGGGAAAAAAATATTAGCAATAAAAAAAAACTTTATATTAAATACTGTTCCTAGTTTGTTTCCCTCTACTGGCACACTTTTCACTTGATCTGTGAATAAAATTTACATTTAGTGGCTGTCTTCCAGCCATCAATCATCTTTTTCCTATTCATTATTTATTTTTTTTGGTGCCACTGGTGGAATTCGTTTTGTTCATGATTCAGTTCCGACCTAGGAATACACCTGGCTGTTTAATATGATCTCTGTAATACTGTAAGAAACATG